AAATTGCAGCATTTTTAATTTTTGTTCATTTCAGTCTTATTTTGCTTTCTGTGAGCAAGAACTGAACCCTATTTTGCTGAAGAATTTTGCAAATCATTAGCATCACTTACTAACTCTTTTCATACTCCCTCATCTTTAGTCATTTTATAATATGGGACATTTACGATGCTTGTTATGGCACCTTCTGTGTTCAGGCTCAGAAAAATCCTTCTCATCAGCTTCCACAGAGCACAATCTGCTATTGCTGGTCAAAGCAGTACATGTGGTGGTGGGGGGGAGGGAATGGCAAGCTGCCAGAGACAAATCCCATGCAAGCAGTTCCATACATTTAGCTCTTGCATTTTATACATTATCCACTTTATTCTTAGGATGCTCCAAAAGTACAGGGGCATTTTAATGTCAAATACAGTTTCTCCTTATCCCTTCCCCATGGTGGGCTGGCTGGATATTCAGTCCACGTAACTGAGGTTTAGAGCACATGCTGTAGTGACAGCTTTCAACTGAGATTTGTGTGTTGTGGCAGGACTTTAGCTTCTGAATAATCATTCATCAGAAAAAGTAATAAAGTGTCAGAGCTCATGACTATTTTAGAAGCTTATTATTTCTACCAATGTTGTAAGAGATTTTTTTTTTTTCCTCAACTGCTAAGAGAGAAAGCAAAATTGATTTGGGAAATAGTTCCTGTATACTGATGTTAAACACTAACATGAAATACTTGATTTAGGAAGTGTTAGGTATGTCTAACATTTTGTTATAGTCCAAGATTCTGAGAAGTTTACAAACAGTCTTTCCTATTTATCCAGCCATATTAAAAATTATTCTGCTGGTATGCTTTTGCATCAAGACTGAATTGGATGTGCTAATAGTAATGTCACATTTCAGTAACTAGAGACTCCTTAAGAGTCTTCTTTCATCATTTTGGAACAACACCGGTTTTCATCAAGGTGGATTTTTTTTTTTTTTGTTATCTTTCTTTAGTGTATATTTGCAGACCATTAACCACTGCTTGCAGTATATCATAGAATCATAGAATGGTTTGGGGTTGGAAGGGACCTTAAAGACCATCTAGTTCCAAGGGCAGGGACACCTTTCGCTAGATGAGGTTGGTCAAAGCCCCATCCAACCTGTCTCTGAACACTGCCAGGGATGGGGCATCCACAACTTCTCTGGGCAACTTGTTCTAGCACCTCATCACCCTCACAGGAAAGATTTTTCCCCTTATATATGTAATCTAAATCTACCCTTATTCAGTTTAAAGCCATTCCCCCTTGTCCTTTCACTACATGCCCTTGTAAAAAGTCCCTCTTCAGATTTCTTGCAGGCCCATTTTAGGTACTGGAAGGCTGCTATATATGATATCACCTAATCTGCTCCACCACAGAAAACATACATAAAATCAGGAGGAAAGGCGAGAAACTAGAGGAACGTTGAACTTGCTGGAGCTGTAAAGCCAGCAGCCCGGGGAAGCTGTGGGCTATAAGGTACGGGGGAGGGGGGAGGCCGATCCCAGCGGGTGCGGAGCGGTGCGGTGCAATACCGCCGTGTTTCCGCCGGGCGGCGAGCCCCGGCTCCGCTGCAAGCCCCGGGGTACTGTGAGCGCTGCGGGAACCTGAGGGCCATTAGGGAAAGCCAATAATTGCACGGCTGGGTTTGCAGTAATAACAGCGACTTAAACCAGTAAGCCTCCGGACTATTCTGAAGTTAAAACAGCGCAATAAACTATCAAATAAGGCGTCTAAGCGGATCTTAAAGACACAAGAAGGATTTTGCCTGGCAATAGTAAAATTTCACGAGGTTATTTGAGTTTTAGTATGCAATCGAAGCCTTAGGAGATTCACGTGAATGCTACCAAAAAGGTCTAAGGTCCTTAGCTCCTCAGAAGTGGAAAATACTACTCCAGATTTCCGATGCCTGCGCTTTTAACTAAGAAAGAGGGGAAAGAAGAGATTTGGGTTGAAACAACTAAAACACTGTCTGACTGAAAGGAAAGTGGGATATAACACTTAAGTAATGACTGGTTTAGTATAAAATTAAGACCTTAAACACAACTATAGGGGTCTTACTAAAACCAGTTAACAGTGTGGTCTGCCCGTTATCTAGCAATAAAAAACAAACAAACAAAATAATGTGATCTTCATTCTACAAAGTTAATATACTATGAGAAAATGTATAGTAATACACTTCATTATAATAAACATTTCATCAAAATAATGTGATTCAGCTATTCCTTCTTGAGATTTTTCTTGACATTCTTAAACTGATATTTATGAAGGTAAGCATCTCTGTATTTAAAGGTGTTAAGAGCTCATGTTCTTGCAAGTTTACTCAGTACAGCTGTTGAAGTCTTAATTCTTCGTCCACTACTCTAAGGAAAATTAAATACTGCAGATGTTATCCTTCATAATGCCATATACACAGAATCAGTTCCTCATTTGCAGGCAAGTTATTTATTTTTTCCTACTTAGCTTCAAGGCAATCATGATCATTAGGCAATGCCAGGGTTAAATAAACATGACCTAAAGTGATCACAAGTCAGAAGTTATTTGAAAGAGATATTCTCACTTCAGTAAGTGGAAATCTAGGAACTGAACTCGAAATATTTCAAATAAACCCCTCTCTTCAGATGCAAAGTTACTAAAAACACAAATAAAAAGGCAGAAATATACCTGACAATAAAATATTTCCTATCTTTGAGACATATCTGAAATAGATGGGATACCTTGCCAGGAGTTTAAAGACGCTAGTGCTCACAAGCAATAAATTAAAGAACCCCCACAGATTAAAATAAAAGACAACAGCCAAAAAAAAAAAAATTACAAAAATGAGGAAATCAGTACTCCCTAAAATAGTTTTATATTTACCCATTCCAGTTTTATATGTCTGATCCTCTCTCACGCCACAGCAGCACCCAAATGTAAGAATATGAACTACCCTGTTCATGCACGTGCACTGACAGTGTTTCTACAGTGTGCAGCCTGGACAAGCCCACCTGCCAGGAATTCCCCTAAGGACAACTGCATGAAACGTAAGAAGATTTGCATCCATTCATAAAAGATCACTTTGCTGAAGATGAAGTCAATGTGGAACAGCTTACAGGAACTTGGGGAACTTTCAGACTCGATAGCAAATTTCTCCAGAGCTCCAAGCCTGTGTAATTCCCAATTCTCATTGAGAAGGGGAGGACTGAAGAGCAAGCACCTTGCTGGCCCCCATGGCAAGTAGAGCAGTCTCTTCAGAGCAATCTCTGCTAACCAGCCATTACTGCCTGACACTGTTTCACTTCACTAATCTTTCCTCACATTGTGAAATCTCTCCTCCTCCTATCCCATAAAAAGGGAAAGATGTCTTGAAATCCTTTAGTAGAGAATTATTGCCAAAGAGTGTCTGAAATCTAAGAATGCTCTCTGTGCCATGATCTAGTACAAAAACTAATTTCACAGCTCTTATCCCTTGCTGTAAATACCCTGTTACCACTCTCAACTTCTTTGATGCTTCCCATGCTTCTTGTAATTATCCTCCCAGTCTGTCACTGGAAGCTGGGTGTTTCCTCAGGTTTGTGTGTGATAATAGGTCCAATGAAGTCAACAGAAGTCCATCACCTACCCCACTACCCTATTCCATGGTCTCCTTCCCCCAGATTAAACCTCAGTACATCTGAGCATCTACGCATCAGCTGTTGTTATAAGACAATACTAACATCCCACAGCCAGCTTGCCATGGGTAGAGACGATTCAACAATGAAAAGCGAAATGTAACAAAATTAAAAGTAATTGGAAAGTCATGCATCTTTATCCCTCTTGTGTACAGCACAAGCATCTTATGAAACACTGCAAATGCTGATTGGAAAAGTATGTCTCAAATATTATTTATTTAAATACTGCAGAATAGGAGGCAGGAATAAGATTACCAGAAAAATCTGGAAATTTGTATGACAGCTTTTCAAAACACAGCCTTCTTCAACCTTAAATCACAAGTTTTTCAGAGCTACAGGTGGGAGCTGGGAACATTTGTCTGTCCTTTTCATCTTAAAAACTCTTGAGCACATCTTTTCATACAGGTCATTCAGAATTTCAGAGAGTATATGATACCGTTTAGTAAAGAGAAGCAGAAGGTAAGGAAGAATGCATTACATAGTTTTGTTTAAATAGAAGGGAGCGTAGCACAATAGCTAGGCATACAACCAGCTGAAAAGCACTCTTATCTATCTCACGCACTAGGTATTTTTATTTTGCAATTTCTCACTTATAGTAAGTGTGCTTATTAGTGGGTTTCCGCTTTGTTTTCTTTCTAAGACATTATATAAAAGGAATTAGGGAGTCAGAGCCCTCCAAAGCACCCTAAGCACGTGAGAAGACTCTTTCACCAGGCTCTTAGATACAAACAATGAAAGAAAGATGCATAAAACCGAGAGCGCACGAACAATGCTCCTCCTCAGTCATCTGTAACCTCTGCTACCTATGTTTGGGGTTATGGTCAGCAGAGTTGTAACTGCGTCAGTTTCTGCACATCTCTGGGTTTTTCTAAGACATATTTAACTACCAACACATACAAAGGCAGCTACCCAAGGCTGAATGGATTTTTTATCCTGAACTCTTGTACTGGTCCTTTAACTTTTTATGACTCATACCTTAAGTATTTGGGAATTCCCCTCTAAATATGAGTTTGACACACTTGCCTTATGGAAAGTTATTTTATTCAGAAAGTATCAAAATGCAACATTCAAGCAATACCCAGGACTATATTTAGCAGCACACAATTGGTCTTTTTTTTTTTTTTTTCCAATAAACTGTCTAATTAAAGACAGATTTAAAAAAAGAGTAAAAAAATGCAAGAACAAGACCGAACAGCAGCAGTGGATGCATTAGAGACAATCACAGGGTTACACACCCAAGCAAGTCAGGCGCTTTTTTTTTTTTAAACTATTCAAACAATGTTAGGGCTGTTTACCTCCCCCCTTGCACCCCCCAGCTGCATGTAAGAGTATGCAGCTTCTCTCTTACCTGTGTGCTGAAGTCCCTTCTCGGTGGACTGACTAGTCATCAGCGATCACCTGACTGAAGCCTGGAAAGAAATTAAAATAAAATCAGCTGACCACCCTTGCTCACTGGCTTCCAGCTTAAATACTCCTCTCCACAGCACTTTGTCATGTGAGGCAGGACAGAACCAGCTGTCATTGCTTCAGAAAAAGGGAAATGGGCCCCTCTGTTTCCACCTCCTTCCTTCCTCCTCTCTCACTCTTTCCTATCTGTCCCTGCCTCCAACCTCCTCCCTTTCTCATTCTTCCACTTTGCTCATTCACTGCCCGCCCGCCCGGCCAGGGTCTCCCAGGGGAAGCCGCATTCCACAACGTACAAGCATTTCCCCTGCATCTCGAGGTTTCTCAACAAGCTGCCTACACACTTCTACTGGGGGAAAAAAAAAAAAAAAAAAGAAAAAAAAAGAAAAGAAAAGAAAAAAAATAATCAGAGAGAAACAGAGAAAAGGCACCACATTCCATAGCCCTCAGTCAGCCCTGGCAGACTACGAGGCATTTTCAGTCACACAGCACAAAATGCATTAGTCAGAGCTGAAAGACCACACACTTTGTACCACTACCATGCTAACAGAGAATGGGCTGAGCAGAGCTACAGGAAAAAGGAAAGGAGGGGTTCCTATCGGTGCTTCCATTTTACGTGGGGTAGCCACCTAAATATATGAAAACTTCACAGGAAAAGGCCCAAAGTTACCATTCCTGGCAGAAACAATGTGGATGTGGGCAGTAGAGAAAGCTCCCCGCTCACAGAACGTGACCTTTTCCAAAAGGACTCCCCCTCTAGCAGAATGTGTTATTCCAAAGGCTGCAAGACATTATCTAAATCAGAACTTCTATCTCCCCGATGGTTTGTTCGTAGGAAATACAAGCCTAGAAAAAGTGAAAGTAATACTGCATGATTCAGATTCCCCAAAACCACATATACTTTCAATTCAAACTTTTCTCTTCTTCAGTGTTCCTTATAGTTCTGCAACTATACCCATCTATGGAGTTTTCTTTTCTCTACTTACGCAGTTTCAACCCTCCATGTATGTGGAGAATCTGATCAGCAAGAAGTAAGAAGAGAGTTCAGCGTAAAAACCCCTCCGTCGTAATCCAAATGACCTAATCTCTCATCTATCTGCTCACTGCTTCCGTCCCCCACGCGCACTTATCTATTGCTCGAAGGCATTTTAGGAGGACGTACACAGTTCAGGAGAAAACACCCCTTTTAACTCACATCAGAGCGAGTGAATGCACTGTACTGGAGCACATGCTTCTGTCCACTGACACCAGTACCACAGAGTCTCTGGCCCTGAATTTCCCACTGCACAGGGACCGTCCCTAATGCATCCTGCAAAACTCAAGGGCTTAAGTCAGTGTCAGAAAAGGGTAGGGAGGCGGGGAGAGAAGAGGGGGAGAACCCTTAACCGTCTGCACTGGAATTTCTTTTTAGGAAAGTCCATGCTTTAATGAAAGACTGATACTAGATACCACAAAGAAACTTTTATTTCTGTATGCACATGACTCAGATATATTTTCTGTGTGGGTTATGTGGTTATGTTATGTTTCATCTCAAAAAACTGTCTCAAAGAGACCTTTAAACATGAGTTTTAAGAAAAACTTGATGTGTTTATGTACAATGAGTGTTTTTAAATTGCTTTTTATTGCACAATGTTATATAGGGACACTGATGTCTGTTCTCATTACAGATATAATCTGCATCTAATATTAAACTATAATAATCTGTAAAAATATTTATTCTAAATTATTTCCTAAATAGTTCCCAGAAAAGAAACAAACTGAATCCTTTAGCAAAACAGACCCTCTTAGTTATAATACTATTTTTCTTCCCTTATTTTCTTGATCATGAAAATACATTTACTATGTTATTGACTTGGACTCATCAGTTTATAAAACAAATGGTAGCTGCTGCTGTGCAGTATTTCAGCAGAGGAAGGCTATCCAGAACTGCCTGAGAGAGTGAACACTGTCGCCATTATAACAAAAGCATTAAAATGAATAATTCATGAGCAGAGGAAGTACCCTACCATTAAAAGGCACCGACTATTTCATGAATTGTCCAAAAGCTACTCGTTTTACTGCCCAGTTCCTTTAACTACTTAGTTATTCCTCATTTTTCTAAAATGGCATAGAGAAGTAATTAGCAGATACACATGGACCAGTTTTAGGATATTTTCCTGAGAAGTAAGAAATGAAAGCTGAAAAGCAAGCCAGAGAGAGGAGGGAGGGGAAAAAAAAAAAAAGTGTTTATGTTTGATGATGGGTATATTAAGGAAACGAGACTTCAAGAGGCTTTTCCAAACTCTGCTTTCGAATCTTGAAAAGGAGGAACATAGCAATCTTTGCCTTTATCTGGCACCTTCCTTTTCAGGATCCCAAAGCATCGTCACAACACCTAGGAATTAAAAGGCCTCACTACTGAGTACCTGCAGAACTTTTCTCCTGTTTATAGAACATAATGCTTCAAGAAGACTAAATTATTTTCTCCAGGTCATACAGGAAGGCTTGGAGACAGAAGCAAGAACAGAGCTTCATTCCCTGCTTACCAGTCCTGTGCCCAACAAAAGGACTAAGTACCTTGCTTTACACGAATAAGCATCACAAGGTTCAATAGTCTGGCAAGTTTTAACCTAATAAAATGAACTGTGGTGCACTAGTATTTTCTGCTGGGATAGGGAAACAATGTGATCCATTAATCCAACTTTACACCAGAATTATTTACAAACTTAGGTTTTGAACAACATTTTCAAGGAATTTGGCTTGGAATAGCAAAGTACATCTGTTCACATTTCACTGCTGCAGGAAAGGCACGTTCTGTGCCTGGAAAAATATGTATTTATAATATACATTTTATTTATTATATACATTTTCAAACTCTTCAAGACATTAAAAACTGGTACACTAACATTGATATACTTCTCAGATTTCATTTGAGCCAACATCTAGTTCTTGAAACAATTAAATTCAAGAAATTTTATCTTTAAAGTAACTTTGTCAAAGGGACAGCATTCTATAATGTTGAGCAAAAGACATCCTAAATATCTTTACACACATGGGTCGCTTTTAGGTGTCCTACTCTCTTGGACTATTGGGATGAACTGAAATGCAATTCTTACTCCAACGCTCCCACTGCCACAAGTTCACTGCTTATGTGGTAGAAAGCCTATTAATATTGAGATACAAAAACATGACCCCAAAGTAGACCATTATGCACAGCATGATAACATTAGGTGTAATTTTGCAAGACCAGATGATGTCACTGGTCAAATTACTGATGCTCCTGGGCTTTTTATTTTTAAACCAGTCACCTTGTTTGCAGAGCCTTGGTAGCCACTTTTCTGATTGTGACTTTAAAACTTTCAGTTCTCAAAAGAATTTATTTCAATAGCATCTACTTGAGAAAGATGCCTTCCTGATCTGGTATTGGATGGATGACTTTCTGCCAGAAATTTGCCATTCAGCCAACTCAGATCTGATCCCACAGCAAGTCCTTACAAGAATGAGGAAATGCTCTTAAGCAACTAGAACAATCCGTACAGTTAAACATATTTTTAGTTTGTAGTCCCCGAGGAACTGTGGGGAGAATTGAACTACAAAACAAATATAAAAAACCCCACACTTGGCTGTAAGATATAATTAACATAGCACAGTTCACAGCAAGCAGGTTTACTGATAGACTATTTCAGCACAAATGACCATTAATGGTTTGATAACTTGTGGCAGGAAGAAAGGGGAGGAAATGCCACAAAATACTTATGAAAACTTTTCCAAATATGACACGAGAGTTCACTTTTTAAAAATTGCACCCAAAAAAAGCAGTTAAAGAAGAAATGTTACAAACACTTCAACCTTATGATCTTAAAAATATCTGTCAACATTATGAATCAACATTACAGGAAGAAATTCTCCATTGAGGTAAACTATCGTGAGTACGTCCACCAAACTGGCAACCTTTTCCAGACTACCAAGTCACTAGCTAAGCACAAGTGTTCTTGAGAACAAGTAGCATCAAATAATTTATTTCAGTTTACCAATAGTTCTACCTCCTTCTAGATAGGTAAAAAAAAAAAATTAAAAAAAATTCCAAGTGCAAGGAAATTAATCAGCATTTTGCTACTCAGACAAGCAAGGAAAGCTGGATGGGAAAAGAAAAGAGTAGCATTGTACCAAGTAAGACTTTAGTACAGTAATAACTATTGGTACACTGTTCAAGATACATGGCTGTCTCAAAACTACATTATGGCCCTAAGCAAGAATGAATAGATTTATTTATATTTACATATCAAAGTAGTGGTAAGGTAGCAATCAAGTGCAAAAGAAAGAGAAATCAGAGGGAAAAGAACTGTCCAACTGTCCAAGAATAATCCATCTGATCGCAGTATGCCAGAAGTCTGGTCAAACAATGTACACAGATTTGTATCTAAGGGCTTAGAAATGTTTAGAGAGTTTCAATATTTGGTTTGCCTGCATAGCTATTTTCTAAGAGGCTATAAAATGAGTAGACTTATGTTGCATAGAGCAGTGGTGTTCTGCCATACTAGCTGTTGCTTACTTGTATCAGCAAGCATTAGTCATGTAGACTCTGCTATGCAGCACAAATACAGGAATTGTTCCCAATCCTTTCAGTACTACAGAGGAACAGTAGAACTATTAACTATGGCTTTTAAAAGAAATAATTTTTATACATTAATATAAATTGTTATTAATTAAAAATATATTTTAGAAGATATTTTTAGATATCTTTTAGATATTATATAAATATTATATAGATATTTATATATAGATACTATATAAATACTATATATCTAAAAGATATAGAATATCTTTTCCATATCTATCTATTCTATATTTAAAAGATATAGAATATCTTTTAGAAGATATTTTTACAGCTAAATAAACAGAGCAGAAGCAACAGTAGTGAAGGGCAGTAGAATGGTAATTTCCACCTTCTTTGCTGTTAAGACATACAGTAGAGGTGGCATCTCACCACAAGATCCCGGAATGTTTGAAATTGGATGAGACCCCT